TTTTTCTTGTTTCTATTTTACCATATTTGCTAGACCTGACGGGACTGTTTTTCTTTTGATTCCTCTGTACTTAAGGTAAAGGTAAATACACGTGAATAGAAGTCTTGACAGTGTCAGTAATTTGTTCCATTATTTTGCATATGCTGTAACTCACAAACATCAAAATTTTTATTGTAGGTTGCAACCATGGAAGAGATATATTTTTTGTTGAATTTTATTAAAAATGATATTTTTTTTGGAGACAGGGTCTCACTGTTTTGCTGGGGCTAGGGTGCAGTGGCGTCGTCATCATAGTTCACTGCAACCTCCAACTCCTGGGCTCAAGCAATCCTCCTGCTTCAGCCTCCCAGAGTGTTAGGATTACAGGCGTGAACCACTGCGCCGGCCTTGTTTTGATCTTTACCATAGTAAAATAATTTGAAATCAATTATGATAATATGTGCATATTGTTGAACAGAGGTTGAGAAAACCTTCACATTGCTTCTGTGTTTAAGCAGATTTATATTTATATAATGAAAGAAAATAAACCTTAAGGCCTCTGTGTTTATAGGAGTTTATGTACGGGAAGGTTTTTTAAAAAAAAATGTGTTGGCCCCTAGGCCTAAAATATTAAAAAAGAGTTTTCTAAGGCCAGGCGTGGTGGCTCACACCTGTAATCCTAGCACTCTGGGAGGCTGAGGTGGGAGGATTGCTTGAGGCCAGGAGTTCAAGACCATCCTGAGCAAGAGTGAGACCTAGTCTCTACAAAAAATAGAAAAATTAGCCAGGCATAGTGGTGTGCGCGTGTAGTCCCAGCTAATCGGGAGGCTGAGGCAGGAGAATTGCTTGAGCCCAGGAGTTTGAGGTTTCATTGAGCTGTGATGACGCCACTGTACTCTGGCCCAGGCAACAGAGCGAGACTGTCTCAAAAAAAGAGTTTCCTAAAGAGCAGTCTTTTTATGTGACCTTGAGAAACTGATGTAAAATCTCTGGAGTATTCTGTCTTCTTATAGAGCAGGGACTTGGTACCTACCTCATAGGGTTGCCGTTAGGATTACATGAGAGAGTTGTGAACACGGTGCCCAGTGGGAATGAGAGCTCTGGCTGCCACAGCCATCATCGTCTGGGCAGCCTTCTTTAAGGAGTCAGGGTCAGCGGGAGAGCTTTTGGCCAACTAGATAGGTTCTGGAGCTGCTAGTTTATCATAACCTTTTCCCTGTTTAAACTTGGAACCTCTAAACTCTGGAGAGCTGGGAAGACTTAAATGGGTGACAAAATTTCATTGTGTATATGTATCTGATTTCTTGCATTATCCAAAAAAATCTCATTCTTAAATATTAATAATTTTGATTAGTTTCAGAAGCTATTTCAGAGTTGATTGTAGGATTCTACATTGAAATAGTTCACTTATATATTTTCTCCGAAATGCTTATTTTGAAAAAAGTAAAAAACTTTCGGTAAAGTTGAAAGAATAGTACAATGAACATGAACATACCCTTTTCCCAGTAGAGGCTAGGTTAACATTTTGTCACATTTGATTTCTGGCATGTATATATGCATTTTCTTCCTTGAACCGTTTGAGAGTGTGCTGCAGACATCCTGATACTTCATCCTTAAATGCTTCAACATGTCTCTCCTAAGAGCATAATCTCAGTACTATTGATATAATTGGTATACTTATATTATCTAATATAACTCTGATTCCATATTCTGAGTTCCCTAATTATCTGAATAATGTTATTTATTTTTCCTCTTTATAGGTTACTTTTTATATTGCAGTCTTTCTCTTCCTTCATGTCTATTAATATTTGCCTTATATATTTAGGTACAATAGGTTATTTTTTCA